GAAGACGCTGAGCCTTTCTGGCACCTACCGCGTAACAGATACGGGGATTCAGAGAGCGGCTCTGCACCTGGAGGAGCTGGAGTGCCTGGTGCTGCGCCACTGCGTCATCGGTGACTCCGCCGTGGACTTCGTCGGGCGCCACATGAAACGTCTCCAGTTCCTGGAGATCAGCAACGCTTACGCCCTGACGAACGCGGGTCTGGCTTGTTTGGCCACCCTGCCGCGCCTGGAGACGCTGTGCCTCAACCTCTGCGATAAGATTTCCCCCGGTGCCGTTATTGCTTTGTGCCAAGCGCTGCCTCAGCTGAGGAACCTCAAATTAGGCGGGGCTTGCTTTGAAGACGAAGTAATCGATAAAATTCAGGCGAGTTTGCCCCGCTGTAGTTTTTCACGCACTCCTCGACACACAGCCTGAAGCAGCAGGGCTTTTGTCATTCGTTACTATGCCTCAAGTGCTCCTTTTGGGGTAAAGTCTCTTTTCCTGGGAGCTGCTCTACATATTTTTGGGACAGACTTTTTGTTGGGGCTAAACCAGCAAGTGTGTCGTGTAAAATGGTTTGTCGGGAGCTTGCTTTTGGTAGGATCAGGGGAATAGGAAAGCCAGGGAGCACCCAGCCTTGGGGAACCCCACAGATGAGCTGACCAAAGACTGGCTGAGGTTACAAGTTTAACCTCTGCCCGCTCCTCGTCCCCCGCCGCTGATCATCAGGCAGCAGCTTAACGAGCGCAGAATTCAAGGAACAAAGTGAGGTGCCCTCCTGCCGCTGCAAAAAAAGATCTGGCAGCCCAAACCCCCAGACTTCCAGTTAATATCTAACTCCGATTGCTTAACCGCCCTGCACGTACACTCCAAACTCTGCCGGGGAAGAAATACCTCATCGACGTGTGCCAGAGCTGCTGTTTTGGAAGGGCTCAGGCGATCCGCCCAGACGGCGAGCGTTTCCCATCCAGGATATCGTCTCGCTTCTACTTTCCTTCAAATTCAGTTCTTCAAGTTACTTTTCAGAAAGGTTTTGGTCGCAGGGCTTCCTGAACGCCCGGTCCGAAGAGCCACACA